TCTCCTCTCCCTCTCTCCACTTTTTAGGTTAGACTGACAGCACGTCCCCCAGCAACTGAGGAGGTGGGTGTCTCCCCAGGGTTCTAGTCCCCAACATCTATATACCAATCTGGACCAATGGGACTGCTGTCCTGACATCTCACCACAGCCAGGTCAGCTCATCAGCTCTCGTGACAGCACAGCTGCCCTTCAAGACCAGAACTGAGCTGCTTTTCCCCTTTTACTTAGTCCAGTGTCTGGTTCACACCAATAGAATAGCAGCCACACCAGGCCATTAAAAGCCACATGCCACATGGAGCAAATTATTATAAAACACAGTGATGGTATAAATACTGAAAACAAGTAATAGTTCATAAACTGAAGTACACACAAGGAAGTACTTTTTAACATTATGATCAATATATGGAATTTACTGCCACAAGATTTTGTGATGACTTCAGCACAAATATTTGAAAAAGATATTCATAGAGGATGACCCAACTACCAAGGGATATACAGGTAGTCCTTGTTTAACAACCACTTGTTGTGCAACCATTCGAAGTTTCGATGGCACTGAAAAAGGGGACTTATGACCGTTCCTCATAGTTGTGGCTGTCGCAGCATCTCCATGCTCACGTGATAGCAATTTGGGCATTTGGCAACCAGCTCACAATTACAACAGTTGTGGCATCCAACGATCATACCGTTTGCAACCTTCACTGCCAGCTTCCAACAAGCAAAGTCAGTGGGGAAGCCAGCAGGAGGTCGCAAATGGCAATCACGTGACATTGTGCCTAACAACTGCATGGGATTCACTTAACAACAGCAACCAGAACTGCTGTCATTAAGTCATCGCAGTCATATGATGTCATGCTTTATGACTGCATCACTTAGCAATGGAGTTGCCAGTCCCAATTACTGCCGTTAAGTGAGGACTACCTATATTAATAATGGCTGTATGGTTCCTCCATGTTCAGGTGAAGCACATAGTGAACACTAATTGCCAAGTTCAGTTGTGGGAGAGGGATATTGCTTTCATAGTCTGCTTGTGAGCATCCTCAGAACATCAGACTGGCTACTGGGAAAAATAGAAGGCTGGAATAAATATATTTTTGGTGTGTTCCAGCAAAACCTTTTTGTTTTAGGTTTATTGTACACAAATCCTACATCTATTCTGTATATACATCTGATTACATTTACTGCCAAGCTCCAAAAGCAAAAGGATGCTAACAGAATATGTTTGTACAGAGTAATTGTTTGATAATCTAGGAACATTTATGAGATTTTCATTTTTGAAAAGTGTAATCAGAAGCTAGCAGCAATTTTTTTGAGTCACAAGTCTTAGACTTCAATAGATACTTTGCCGAGTGAATAGGCTTTCTTTCAATAAAAAGTGTATTAATCTTCTTGTGTACAGTATAATACAGTAGACAGTGTATTTGGCTTGACATTTCAGAAATTCATTTCAGATTTCTGTGAAATCCCCTTTCCTCTAGCACCACAGTCACAGCACTCAAATGGACCCCACAATTTTCAGGGGATCATTTCAGGGGAATTCTGGACATTAAGAAGAAGACAGAGTGGGAATGCTACACATTTTCTTTTACAGTCTTTATTTCACAAAAGCATATCTGGATTCATCCTGATTTCAGTGAAGAGATTCTTCTGGGCCAAATTTGACATTCCTTTCTAGTAATTTCCCACAGTGATTCCCAACGTAGTTCACATAATATCTTACCATTTGGATGCCATATTTCTGTGATAAATTTCATTTTTGGCGGCCTGAGAGGATAGTCTTTTGGGAAAGTAAGATGAGCCTTGAAAACACCACCTTCACTAAAGAAATTAAGAAAAAATTCAGTAATCAACTTTTCAAAATGTCAAAGCCTTAAATTATTTGTTGGCTTGAAATCAGTCATTACAACATCCAAAAGACTGATTATTGATTAAATAGATGAGCTACCATATGCTTTAATCCCTTAAATTACTTCCCAAATATTCAATACTTCCTCAGTGGGAATTAATCCTGAAATTTCGTAAGTTAGAACCATGAAGCATTTACTGCAATCTAGATTCATTGTTTCATAATTAGACCACTCTGCTCTGTATGGCAAAAGTCCACTGATTTTAAATGGGATTTATATTAAAGTATAAGTGTTAAAGATTCTGATCTTTAATCTACTATACTCAAACTAAAGTTATGTAACATTTCTTACCAACAGTATGTATTACCAAAATGACACAGACAAAGAGCACAGACTCTTGCATATCACAAAAATCATGTAGAGTTTTCTTAAATGACCGTACATTTCCTTTTCAGCTTGTCCAAGTAATGAATAAGGAAACACAGCTAAACATGAAGATTAAAAACCCACTGCAAAAATGGGCCAACTGTCCACCAACACACTGAAAACAGTAGGTTGTTTACCTGCAACTTTGAGCAGTCATCTCTAAATGTGCATGAGTTTCTTTATAATAACTTTATTAATTTTTTAAAAAACAGTAAAAACTAACAAGAATATTAAGATAAATGAGAAGAAAAAAAGAAAT